AGGTCATCAGGAGGTGTGGGCTGCAGAATCATCAGTACGCTGATGATACCCAGCTCTACCTCTCGTTTTCCACCAATCCAGGTGAGGCAGTGGCTGTGCTGAACCGGTGCCTGGCCGAGGTAATGGAATGGATGAGGGCCAATAAACTGAAAATCCAGACAAGATGGGGGTCCTGTTGGCTGGCGGATCGGGCTTCGGGGAGGGTGAATTGAACCTAGTCCTGAATGGGGTTGCACTCCCTCTTAGGGACAAGGTTCACAGCTTGGGAGTTCTCCTCGACCCAGAGCTTTCACTGGAAACTCAGGTGACAGTGGTGGCGAGGAGCGCTTTCTTTCAGCTTTGGCTGATCCATCAGCTGCACCCCTACCTGGAGTATGACTGCCTGGAGACAGTGACACACACGTTGGTGACTTCCCGACTTGACTTCTGTAACGCGTGCACGTGGGGCTACCCTTGAAGACGGTCTGGATACTTCAATTGGTTCAAAATAGAGCTGCCAGGCTGCTGACGGGGACTGGGCATTATGGTCACATGACTCCAGTCCTCCGTCAGCTTCACTGGCTTCCCATTGAAGTCCGGGCCCAATTCAAGATGTTGGTGATGACTTATAAAGCCCTAAACGGCTTGGGTCCTGGTTACCTGAAGAAGCGCTTACGTCCATATATGCCCGCCCCCACCTTCAGATCTGCAGGAGAGGCCCTTCTCTGGGAACCCTCCGTGAAGGAAATTAGGAGGGTGAGTACTCGGAGGGCTTTCTCTGTGGTGGCGCCCGATCGATGGAATGCGCTCCCCAGAGAGGTCTGCCTGGCGCCGTCGTTATTTGTTTTTCGGCGCCAGGCAAAGACCTTTTTATTCAAATGTCATTTTAATTGTTAATAGTATTTATTCACTTTAGTCTTTGGCCAGGGCGACTTAATTTATACTGTTAATTTATATTATTCTATGGAAGTTTATTTATGGATGTGAGCCGCCCCGAGGCTTCAGCAAATGGGGCGGCATAGAAGTCTCCTAAATAAATAAATAATAAATACCACCAGGTCTTCTGCTGGTACAATCTGGCTCTTCTGGGACTGGGTCTGGCAGATGTAGTGGTGGCAGCCATCTTTTTGTGCACTTGGCTATTTTCCCAGCCATGTGGTCTTCCAGGGAGAGGCGGGCATTAGTGGGGCAGGCTCGGTTGGAGCTTTTGCTGCAGCCAATGAGCCCAAGGGGTGTCATCGAGACTGAGCTGGATGGCTAGTTGCACCCTGCTTGTTTGGTGGAGTTGGTTGCCTGTGGGGCCATTCCCCATACTTCGACACTTAATCAGTCATCAGTACACTTCATCCAATAAAACATGTTTAAAATAAGTTATAAACCATCTTTTAGAAGGGAAAAATCTTTCAAGAGGGAATTAGACAGATTCAGGATTAGTCACCCTGGCTGACGGGAACCTTCATATTCATATGCAGTGAAAGTACCTTAGAGTATTTCTGAAATTAAGCTGTTGAGGCATGTATGGGTGCTGCAGCTGCTGCCCTGTGTAAAACTTTGCGGTGTTCACTTGTGGTGTTCACGAAAGCATGGAAGGAGAATGCAGAAGTTTGGCTTGACATGGCTCTTTTGACCTCAGTTTATGAAGTACATGAATTGATACAGTTTATGAAGGTACCAATACTGGTCCATCTTGCTCAGTATTGTCTACTTCGAAGGACTATAGCGCTGCAGGGTCCCAAGTATATTTCCTTACCTGAGCAGGTGAGGTGCTAGGTGCTAGAAAGTTCCCACAGGACAAAAAATGCATATATTAGCATATGCCTCTTTACATATACTATACGGTTTCTCTGTGCATGAGCTTAATAGATTCTGTCTCCTAAGACAGGACAGGGCGTGATGCAACAGTGTCCCCCTCACTGCAGTGTCTGAGGCAGCTGCTTGACCCTGCTTCATGTAAGGGCTGGCCTTGCAGGGCAACAGAAATTCAACAGCAATTATTTATATATATGAATGTATGAGAAGCTCAACACTGACTGCTTCACTCCACTTTTGGCAAGGCCCACAAACACATACACGCCTCTGAAATGTTTTGCCAGAAACTGTTTCAAAGCACTTGCAGATCCAAAACACCCCGATGGTTTCCACAAACTCTTGCAGGGAGTTGTTAACCATTATTGGGGACCAAGACTCGTCCCACCATGGACACCATTTCACATTCTTTTTTAAGTAGGCACTGCAAGACTTGATTAGGCCCTCTGGGCTTTCCCATCCAGCCCCACTGTCTCTTCTCAGAGCCCCGTGCCTGAGCCAGGAAGCCAAAGCTCTTATTAGCAGATAGAATTACAGATAAGAGCTTCCCCCAGCTTGATGCTGAAAGGTACTCCTGCTCCTCCTGAGCCCGAACCTGCAGGGACATGCCCTGTTTACTTCTGAGCAGGCAGGATGATCACGCTTACTTCTGAACATTTGTAAGCTTGTTCTTTGGAACTGCTGCTGAGCTTGCTCAGCTCTGTTTACGTTTAGAGAGACATGGAGAGGTTTGTCCTGCTTACTTCTGAGCAGACATGTTGCTCATGCTTAGTAATAGTGTTTGGGGTGGGATGATTTTTGGGCCTTATCCACTTTTGCCTCTGGCATCACTCAACACTGGAAAACGACAGCTATTACGCTTTATTCCTTTCGGCGCCAGGTGAAAACCCCTTTATTTTCCCATTAGTTTAATGTTTAATAGGTTTTAAGGTGGATTTTATTTACTGGAAGTTTTGGATGCTGTGCTCCATTTTATTTTGTGTTGCTTTTATTGTAAAACCGTCCTGAGACACTTGTAGCGGACAGTATATAAAAGCTTTAAATAATAAAGAACTCGGTGGGATGGATCCATGCCTGGACTATAGCAATTGAAGGGTATAACTCGTTTGAAAAGAGCAGAAGAAACCGGAGCTGCATTATCTGTTAAAAATACTTATCTTTTAGTGGATAAAATGGAAGTTACAGGAATTCTGGGGGAAAATGACAACATACTTGAGTTCCTGATTTTAAAGGAAGCAAAATTGGAGCATGGCCATATAGGTACCCTTGACTTTAGGAGAGTTGATTTTATTAATCTCAGTGATAAGTAATGTTCCATCGCAAGCGATCCTAAGGAAAAAAAGGAGCCCAAAGTGGGCAGGCTCTTTTAAAAGAGGAAATTTTAGTTTCTAGCCTTTTCAGAAAGAGAGATTGAAATATTGAGTGTGCTTTGCCTGAAGGGAGGTGACAGGGGAGGTATAATAGCAGTCTTTCAGTGTGCAAGACCGAGAACAACAGGCTTAAGTTACAGGAAACCAGATTCCAGCTGGACATCAGGAAAAACTTCCTGTTAGAGTAGTACAGCAACAGAATGAATTACCTGGGGAAGTGGTGGGCTCTCCCAAACTGGAGGGATTCAGGAGGCAATTGGACAAAGATCAGCTGAGAATGCTTTCAGCTGTAGTTCTGCATTGAGCAGGGGGTTGGACTCAATGCCTTGTCTGCCCCTTCCAACAATACTGGTCTGATTCTGTGTTGTCCACAGGGACATCTCCAAAATGAAAGGTGATCCTCAGGCTGACAGCTTCCCCCACCTGTGCATTCAAGTTAATATTTCACTTTTTCCCCACAATTGTGCTTTCTTCATAATATTTGTGATGTGATTGGTTTCCTCCCTTTGTGTACACACACATCAACTTCATAAACATTGTCTTTAGCCCCCTGTCTATATATAGCAAATACCTTTGGGGAAACTAGCAGAGGCTGTGCTAAGAGACCAATTATATATTGGGAAGGAACTGTTGGGATCAGGAAAATGGGCCACTTGAGAAGTGTTTTGCCCAAATGCAGTGAGCGGAATTTGGTCATATTCAGTGTCATGGCTGAATAGAACTTTGGGGATCCGATATGCTGTGATAGGAATAATGCGGACAAGTCAGGTTGGAATTACACCATTAGCATGCATTTATCTAATGCCACTTTTGTTAGGCTGAGGTCCTATGCCAACTTACCTGGGAGCAAGCCCTGTTGGACACTGCGGATCTGACTTCTGAATAGATGTGCCTATGGCTGCACTGGAAACAATTGCTTCTTGGTGTCACCAGCTCAGACCTGATGCACCCATTCAGCACAATGTGATGGAGAGGGATCATCAGACACCTGCCAACAGCCCAGGGCTCAGAAGGGCCCACCGCCAACTGTGCTCACTCCATCAAGACCCCACAAAGGACCCGAGCAGCAGTCTGGCTTGCTGCCACCCCCCCTCCCCCAATGCATTTAACTGGCAGGCGGTAAGGGTTTGGCATGGAATGAATCCTCTTCTCAGGTTCCATCCAGGGCGGTGGTGTCAGCATGTTAATATACTAGACTGAGACTGGCATCCGCAGGGAGCAGTGCTAGGACTGGGCTCTGCTCCTGGCAAGGGTAACAGCAGGGCCCCAGCAGCAGTTAGGAGATGAGGCCGCTAGCACACAAGGTCCACATTCCCCAGTTACGAGAGTCCACATGGACATGGTGTGGAAATTTATTTTCCACTCTAGTTTCCAAGATGCATTTAGCTATTTCAAAAGAAGCCTTTTATTTTACTGCACACATTCCAATCAATGTAACACATGGTTTAACACTTAAGTTTATTGTCTTTTAAACACTTAGGATAAAGGTTTGCATTAATGCAGATGCTAATTCAAGGGATGAGATTGTACACACAACTTTCAAAGGTTTTTGTTCCTGACAAATGACTAGACAAGTTTCTTAGTAGAAAGTTAGGAAATTATATATCTGTAGCAAGTAAAAATCATTTAGAAATTGTAGTCCTGCTCCCATGTATTGGTGCAGCTGCTCTATTCACATGGATTCTGGATAACGATAAGAAGATATTCCTTATCTGTAGGAAAAGGTAATGAACCATGAGAGATATGACAAACACCTGCAATTTGTTCAATTTCAGTTTCTCCTCATTTTCCCATTTATTTTGTAATTATATTTGAGATTATAATTTCAATACTAAATTCCTAAGATATGGAAAGAAATCTGACTCTAGGCTGACACTTGGGTGGGATAAGCAGCAGACACAACCTGATGAGCTGCCACCAGTGCTGCTTCCTTCCACAACTGCCACCAGAAAGGCACCCAAGGAATACTGTGCCCTGTGGGGCAGGAAAAGAAAACCAATTAAGCTTGAACTGAATAGAAGAGCCTCTGCAGAAGAGAGGCAAGGAGAAACTTTCCAGCAAATAACATGTCAGCCCTAAAGAACAAAAGTGTGTAAATTTAGACTCACAGGAATTGGCCAACATTAACTGGCAACTTCTCTCCAAAATTTCAGGCAGTTTTTCCAGCCATACCTGAGAGATGCTGGGGACTGAATCTGGTACCTTTTGCACGCAAAGCAGATGCTCTACCACAAAACTATTGTGCGGGGGGGGGGGGGAGTGAATTGATTACCATCAGCATCATGCTTTCCGCTTCCTCCCTCCACCCCTTGCTGCCTGCCTCTGCAGCAAAATAAGACCTCCTTAATTGCTAAAGTATTAAAGTATATGGAGATGAGCAGATCCCACAGGCTTGTGTCTTCCTAACTGAATGCTTTTAGACAAAGGTTTTGCAGCAGCTTTGGAAAAATGAAAGCAAGTAGTATTTTTTCACCTGAAGACAAAATTATTACCTGGAGCAACCATGATTTCATGTTTCTTTGATCTAATCCTAAGAAAAGTTAGATCATTCTGTGGATCAATATCTCTCACTGTGCTCTTTGCTTTCATTGTGAGCTGATGAAGAAGGCCTGCATACTGCACTGTAGTGGAGTTGTCAAGAGTTGTTCTGATTGGGATGCCTGAAAAGGAAGCAGTTGACTGATTTAGGATTTAACAGGCAAAGTCAACTTAAAATTTAGCATTTTAAGGCCTCTGATCTCTCTCTCTCTCTCTCTCTCTCTCTCTCTCTCACACACACACACACACACACACACACACACACACACACACAGAGAGCTAAAACAAGCATGAGCCACTCTCTCCTGTAGACTGTCTGTAACTAGTTTCACCTGAGTGTGAAACATCACACTCCCTGGTGTGGAGTGTGATGTACTGAGATATACATCAGTTGTAATGATAGAAAGCCTTTCTACAACTCTTTCAGCATTATCTAATAGCCTAGGATCATTGGCAACTACAAGTAAAGGCAAAGGTATTATAATTAAGTTACTTGCTGTGATGTGAGGCTGCTGTTAACAGAGATTGCTTACCACCACTGGCAACAACTCTCCAGGTTCTAGGACAAAGACCTTTCCCAGCCCTGTTACAACTGATCATTGTAAATGGAGATGTTTGGTACTGTACATGAGATGTTCTCCATGCTGCACGTGCTGTTTCACTGAGTAACGTCCTCTCCCCAAATGTCCCTTACTAGTCTTCTATTTGCTTAATGTGGAAGCAATGCAGCTTAAAAGGTTAGCCAAAGCTATGCAACTTGTTTAACATGCAGCCAAGTATACTCAAGGCAAGGTTTTTCTTAATGGACTCTAAAGATTAAGTCTCTGGAGAAAAAAAAAATCTTTCGCTGTTACTGCTATTATTTTGAAATTCCAAGACATAAGATACAGTAAAAGTTGCAATATGATAACTGTTTGTGTTATCAAGTTCCTTCCTTCTTTCTTGTTTTGTGTTCAAGGAGAGACCAGATGTAACTGATGTAATCTATAAAAAGCTGCATCTGTAACAGAAGGAAGAGTTGCTCCTTGTTAACTATGTTGACACTCCGTGATGCTGATGAGCTAGTTGGTCAGGGACCTCTCCCTATGATCTTTTAACATTCATAAGTCTGGATTGCAACTTTTTCTTTCAGTGGACTACAGTTTTCTTTAAAGTTTCACAATTTGGTGGTAGCAATGGGATCTCTGAATGCTGCAGTAAGTTAATGCTCATGCACCAACCAAAAGGGGAGACAGGCCTACTTAAACTCTTCCAAGGGGGATGAGTTCAGGACTGAGGGACTGCCAGCAGCTGGCAAGAACTAAGCAAAACATCTAACAGGAAAAATGAATATGAAAGGCACACTGATAGTGGGAACATCGCAGGGAAAAGAAAACCTATGGATCCCTTGATGGTGGGTCCATCAGTACAGGTACCCTAAGAAAAACTGGGGGTAGTTCCATCCACAGACACAATAGTTGGTGCAGAAAGAAACATAGAATGAAGATAAACTGGACTTTTGAACTTGTTGAGAATCTTCTCCACTGAATCCTTAACTAAGACAAATAACTAGACTGGTCAGTATTATACAACAGGAATCTTTCTCTTTCAGGATACTGAAGAGATGAACAGAGGAAGCCAGGATCAAATGGTTTTGAGTGGGCACAGGTGTTGGGCAAAGATTCAGGCATGTAAACAGAAGGAAGGTGAATGTCTGGCTGAATAAATGGAAAGATGAAGCAAGTTTTTGGTGCAGCATTCAGGGATACAAGATGTTCCAGCATCTGCACTGTGTACGCCTTGTGTAAGGACTGATTCTGAAAGTGAGAAAGTACCTGATGATAATGGGTTAATACAGGAGTCAAAGAATGCAGTAGACAGTGGAAGTGTTGCTCGTCATTTTGCAGTGATGATAATAAAGGGTAAAGAAGATGTTCTTACAGATTTAGAATTTGGAAGGCAACTGAGAACGTAGAAAGGAAGAGACGGAGGTAAGAATAAGATTAAGTAGTTTATTGCTCAATCAGAAGATCACTGCAAATGCTATTTTACAACTTATATACAACCATGTGAGAGAGAGATACCATTACATAAGTTTCATTAAAATATGGTGCGTTAGCAGCAATACTATGGCATGTAGCATGTGAGATATTTAGTATCAACCCTTTTACCTTCACATAGCTGAATCTTAATTAAAGCAACAACATATTTGCCTATATCCAGTGTTTTTGTAAAAAAAAAGGTGCCGGAACTCACGTCGCCACCGGCAGTAAACACTCAGCGCGCAACCACACACACCAATCCCAAGCCGAACAGTGTCCCAAGCTGGGCGGCGCGGACACAAAAGCAGCCCGCAGGCACTTTGTTAATGATGTTTGCTGCTGACCTGCTATGCCGACAGGCGATTCAAAATCACTTCGTAAAATCCATTGGAAAAAAAGGTGCCGGAATGCTTTTCCGGGGCGTTCAATGACAAAAAAGCCCTGCTTATATCTAGTGGTTTTCACAGCAAATATTGCAACCCTCTGTACCACATATTGGTTGGATGATTGTAGTAAGCAACTCAGTTCCTCCTATGCATCCTTGTATTTGTTTCAAGAGAGATTCTATGCACCTTTTTCTTTTATCTCTAGATATCATACACTCAAGTACATAATGAGCCAAAACCTCAAGAATTGGTTCTCCAGACAAAGCCTATCTTTTCCTGGATACCATTTCACTGTAGTATCCATATATTCATACCTTAGGTATGTGAAGACTTTCTGATATTCCATTTTCACAAGGACTGACAAATATTTCTCATATGCTTTGTGTTAGCTAATCATTCTCATGTTTTTAATGATGGAACAGCAGTTTTATCAGTTTGCGCTTGTACTCCTATATCAAGTACTGTTTTGATAAAAGATGTAGCAGCTAGCTTTCAACACTGGATTTAGTATCAGAGAATCTGAAATTTGGGATGGTTCAGTTTTTCCAATCAAAACTTTCTGTGCATAGATAGTATCTGCTCCTCCAAAGAGAATTTAAGAAGTCTTTCTTTTGTTAGACTGCTTATTTCACAGTGATAGAGGAAAAGGGAATAGGGAAATAAGCTGTGAATTGCTTATTTTAGAGCAAAAGGGAAATTTCTAGATGTACCTGCTTCAGCTCTAATTAAATATTCTGGGGTGGACTCAGAAATCACCAATTTGATATAAATTACCAAATCTGCAGTGGTTTCTATTTCCCAGGCTACTGTTTTGCTGTTTTTCAAACAGGAAGTTGGTTTCCAATAGCAATATTGCAAGATGTTGCTGATATACAATATCAGGCCCAAATTCAGAAAAAGAATTCTGGAATCTGATGGGGTGTGTTCTGTACCAGGATGGAAATTGGAAGAGTCGGGGTGGCCACCTGATTATGCCAAGATCCTAATTCCCACACCTACCCCATGCATATTATGAGATAGGTCATGTTTTAAAAGCATGCAATAATTAAAGCTGTGAAATTAACTGGCACCACATTTTCTTATATGGTCCAACACTATTGTCCAGCACTATTGTGTGGGCCCAATTTGTCAGTCCTGGAATGTGGGCGATATGCAAAGACAAAAACGGCAGTGTACCCCCCCCCCCCGGGGTTCTTTTATGAACATTCAGATTTATTTTATCCAATTGACCAAGTGTTATTTATTTAAATATGTGATCTTTTATTTTATTTAAAACTTTTCTGTAACGTCCCATACTTAAGACGACTTAGACCCAACATCATTTGGGTTTGCCTGTGTTCAGGATGAGTTGAAACATCTTTATACTTATGTGCAAAGGCAAGTACTATCACTGTAGGCAAGAAATTATGGTGAAACTTACTGTTCAGATTTGTTAATTTTTTCTATACATGTCCTGCTTTTTTTCCTAAAAGGAACTCAAAGGGGCTTACACAATTCACCTCCTCCTCTCAATCTTGTCCTCACACTAACAACCTTGTGAGGTGGGTTTTGCTGACAATTTGTCACTGGCTCAAAGTCACCCAGTTAGTTCCATGGCTGAGAGGGAATTAGAAGCTAGATCCCCTGAGGCCCAGCCCCATACTTTTAACCACTATATTGCACTGGCTTTCTCAGTATTCATAAACTCAACCAGGGAGACAAATTTCTCTAGAAAATTATGTAGCAAGTTTGTGATGCACTCCAAATTCAGCAAAATGTCCATTGTCTTTATCACCTTGAATCAGCAGTGATTGTAGCACAACAAAACACAACTTGTAAAAATAAGTTTAAAAGGATTTATGCTGGAACAGTGCTGAAATGGTCAAATGCTTCACAAGAAGCTTCAGTGAGCATGAAATAAACTTTCAATGATACCTCCTCCTTCTCCCCCAGTGAATATGCTTCTTCAGGGGTGTTCATTTGGCAGATTAAATAATATTAAATTACTGAAAATCCTTAACAAAACGTGTGAAAGCTTTCCAGCCACAGGGATGTGCTGCATCTTCCAAAGAACCTGATGAGCCTTGTCATTCCATCCAACTAAATGAGTGAATGTATATCCCTTGATCCCCATTGGAAGAGCCTCCTGACAACTCCAAATGTACATGAATGCTTCTCATTGCAAATCAGTTAGTGAACTTGCTGCCAACAAGTTCCCAGACTCAAGCTTGGACCTTTCTTTGGCATCAGGAAGCAAGGAGCTCAACCACCAGACAAACTGTTGCCTACAAGGGATCCAGAAGTCCTTTAGTAATGTTAAGGTACAAGATGCCAAGAAGAGATCCAAGAAGCAATAAGACTAAGGCAGCGCTGCCTTAACATTCTCAAAGCATCCTGTTTGGCAAAGACAACTGACCTCTACTGTGGTCATTGTTAATAAGCTTCAAAAGAAAGAAAAGTTGTTCTAGAAACATTTTTTCCTCATTGTAGCGGCCTCAACTGAGGCAAGGAAGGAAGCACCTGCGGTAACAAGGCTTTCCACTAAAGACCAGAGAGCAGAGAAACTGGATCTGTACTTGGCTGCATGCCTACAATTGGTGCTTCATGAACCATTGAGATAAAACTATGCAAGAGCTTGTATAAAAAGACGGAAGCCAAATCTTATGATGGTGTTGTTGATTCTGGTGAGAGATTATGTTTGGTATTTGATAATAAAATGTCTGTAATTGGAAACAATGTTTAAACATATTACTACTAAAATGGAAATCAGAGCTACACAAATTAGTACAAACTGTAACACAGCAATTAGTCTACCTTTTGTGATGCTGAAGCAAGACCACAGCCCCCCACACTGAGAATAATGTACTATTAGCTCTTTAACATTGAAGGAAAGAGATATTTCTGACTAAAAACAATAACCTGTTCATGTTGGCAACTTTTACAGATGAAACAAAATTGGTCTTAGGTTTTGAGGTCAAACTGTAAATTCACTTTGAAGTAGGATTTCTGCACGGGTGAAGAGCAGTGACAAGAACTGGTACAGGAAAGGCATTAAATCAGAAACAGTATAGAAGAAGCTAGTATTCAGAGAACAGAAGTCGGAAGTTTGTCTGTGACTAAATACTTTTGACCTCTGCTTTTCAGATAAGCAATTGTTGCTCTTAGTAGACAAGGTTTGATGATAAGAAAAAAGCAGGATGGAGAACTTGGGAAGAGTATTGTGTGTTTAGTTACGCTTTTAATGTTTTCTGTTATGTATAAATTTCTGGCAGACCATCTGCTGGATGAAGACGCTTGAGACTTCCTCTCTTGTGGTCTGACACACACGCATGTGTTTCTGAGAGCTGTTCTAATAAACCTCCCAGAGTAACTGATTCGTTATTTGGTACTGACTACAGCATCAGTCTGGGCAATGTTTCAGCTTAAACATATGAGTCTGCCAAATGCAACAGACCACATCCATTGCTAAAATTAACCCAACTGCAGGCTATTTTAGATTAAGACCTCACTGTTATGTAATTGCCTCAGGAATTTGTTTTACTCTTTAACTATGTTTGATAGGATCTTAACAGCATTATATGCTTGGAGAAAGGTGTGTAAATCAACTCCCACCCAAAAAGGCTTACTTAAAAATTGAAAAACTGGATGATGGGGGCCAGGGTGTAGATGCTTCCTTGTCAATCTAAGGCATTGCAATATTGTTTATAGCAAGAATGAGCAGACTTCAGCTCACTGGGAAGTTTAAAAAAAAAAACCTCCTAAAACCCCAAGTCACCTTGAGCAGAGTTTGCTAGCTGGAACATTATTTGCTGGAAAGGCAGGATACAAATGTAACAAACAAGATCCACCAATTAGAGGTCTGAAAGGCAACTGAGGAGTTAAAGCTGTAGAATGCTCAAGTAAGGGTTTATTTTCGGTACCAGAATTCGGTACCTTTTCACACTAAAATGTATTAACGATTTTCCCTCCTCACAAATCTTGCTCCTTTTCATCAGTCTAATTCGGAAAGCACGGGGGAGGAGGAAGGATGTTTGCACTGTTGCTCTTGTTGGTGCACCTCTCCCATTACCATATTAACGAAAATAAAAAGTGCTTTGCACAAATATTCTCCTCATTGACTTGTCCACACTTTGTTGTAGTTCAACTTGGAATCGTTTCCACCTCTTAATAAACATAACTTGCTCAATACTGTGGTAGTGTGAAATACTTTTACCGTTGCACGAAAATTAAGAAATAAAACAAAGCGGCACTTGTGTAAGTATTCATCCGCTGAATGAATGCTTGGTGGAAGCACCTTTGGCAGCAAATACAGCTTCAAGTCTTATTAGTTAAGTCTCTGTCACATTTGCACATTTGAATCTTACACTGTTTGCCTGTTCCCTTCTGGCAAAAGTATTCTGGCTCTGTCAGGTTGGATGGGGACCACTGGTGAACAGCAACTCCCACGTTTTGCCACAGAATCTTAATCAGGATGAAGACTAGGTTTGTACTGGGCCACCCTAAGACATTCAGATTCCAGTGTTAGTTCAGGAATATTGTCCTGCTGGAGGCTGAACTTCTTCCCCAGTCCTTGGAAGACTGAAAAAGGCTTTCCTCTACAATTGCCCTGTATTTGGTTGCATCCATCGTGTCCACAATCCTGAACAGTGTTCCAGTCCCAGCTGAGCAAAGCATTCCCATGACTTGATGCCACCACCATGGGAATGGCATCCTCAGAGCAATGAGTATTGTTGTTTTGTGTCACATACAGCAAGGTCAAAAGTTTCATTTTGTTCTCATCCAGACATAGAAAATCATTTCTACAGGTTTGCTGTTTCTTTGACATGCCTTTTGGGCTTTGAGATGTGTTTGTTTTAGCAATGGCTTTCTTCTAACCATTCTTCCATAAAGTCCAGCTTTGTGAAGTGTCTGGATAATAAATGTCCTATGGATGGTTTCTCCCTTATCAGCTCTCCTTCTCTGCAGCTCCTTCAGAGTTACCATTGGCTGTTTAGTTTATCCTATGACTTTTTGTTTTGTTTAGATACAAAGTCATACCCGACCAATCACGACTCCATGGACAACATTCCTCCAGGCTCTCCTGTCCTCCACCATCCCCCAGAGTCCACCCAAGCCCACACCCACTGCCTCAGTGACTCCATCTAGCCACCTCACCCTCTGCCATCCACTTCTTTTGCCTTCCATCATTCCCAGCATCAGGGTCTTCTCCAGGGAGTCCTTCCTTATTAGGTGGTCAAAGTCTTTGAGTTTCATCTTCAGTATCTGGCCTTCTAAAGAGCAGTCAGGGTTGATCTCCTCTAGGACTGACCGGTTTGATCGCCTTGCGGTCCAAGGGACTCGCAGGAGTCTCCTCCAGCACCAGAATTCAAAGGCCTCAATTCTTCTGCGCTCAGCCTACTTTATGGTCCAACTTCCACAGCCAACTCCTATGACTAATATTTTCCTTATCTGGTTACTAAATTTTGGTAGATAGCCTTCTCTAGACTGAGCTGCCATTTAGCCATTTCTTTCCATTTTGTAACAACTAATTTAGTAGTGCTCTGGAAGATGCTAATTTGTAATCTGATATATTTATTTATATATAACCCATCCTCAATTGGTGCCTTTGCACTTTATCCCAAAGCTATCTTGATAGCTACTTGATCTTCATGATTCAATATGCTGAAAAACTCTGGGGTTTTCCAGAAATAGGCACATTCAATCTAAGATCATGTAGCACTGGAATTACGCATAGGTGGCCTCCATTCAATGAATTCCAGTGGGTGACTTCCGGAGACAGTATGTTGCATCAGAGTGCCACAATAAAAATATTTTACACCTTCACATTGTTGAGTCTTGTGTATAGCAAGTGCCAACAATGTCAATTAAATCCCTATCAATTTCAGCTTGGAACAACAAAATGTGGAAAAGTCAAAGGGATGCATGTGAATTCCTCTGCAAAACACTAAAAACAAATACATTGTTGCCACAACATTTTGTGCAGCTTTTGTGCTAACAAGGTTTTCACTGAAAAGGAGCCCATGCTATTTAACTATCTTTAAAAATATTTTTAAAAGAACTGGATTCCACCAGGCAAAATCAGTGATACAATATGCCATTCTTTCCAGCTTCACAGTGACAAGTATTGCACACTTCAAAGAGTCCAAAAAGACACCCCCATCCCAGTTACAAAGGAAGCTACGCCATCAGAGAAGGGGGCTTTTTAGTTGTGGTGTCCCACCTGTGGATCCTGCTCTCCAAGCTTTGCCTGATATATTCACAGTTACCTTCTCAGCACCAGGCAAACATATTTAGAATTAAATATATAGATTTTGAATGCTAATATTTTTATAGGTTTTATATTAATTTTATTGTGCTATTTATAAGTATTTTCTATACTGTGTGTATATTCTTAGCATTTTGTAATGTGACCAAAGAAAATTTATTATTATGTTTATTTTTAAAAATTCTGCAAATCACTCCAAAATATACTTTCTGCCCAACCGTTGCCTACAGTATTAGTTAAATTAAGGTAATTACAGGGATCATTTATTAAAATAATTGTCTCTCCATCATAGTTGTTAAATGTTTGAAAAAGCTGCAGAATGACAAACAATGAAGATGCTGAAATGCCAGAAACCAAGGATTTTTACATCTTGACATTCTATGTCTATGTATGTGGATACCGGGAAAAGCCTGCTCATATGTTATACTTACATAATAGTTTTTGGAAGAGACGATTTTATAAGACTATCACGCCATCTAATTTGGTATTGTTTGCTGTTATTGGGAAGGCAGTGTTCTGCAGGCTAGGAGGGCTTTAAATTACTGGTTGCTATACTTGGCTATAGCATGACTTCAAGGTGGTTTTCTATCACAAAATAATGGCTTCCCAGGACAACATACTGTCAATATGACATCACTGCTAAGTTGAATATTATGCACACTCATCCTTAACTTAGATAATATAATACAATTTTGATTCACATTCCTAGTTTGCAGCTTAACCTGTTCAGCATTCATATTATTTAAGAATACAAGATTAACAATTCCCCTTGACTTATTTTCCTAGTTTTAAAGGCAATGCAAAATATAAAAAATCCAAATGGAACCTGTTTGTAAAACATACTGAGTATATTTTATGACATACATAAGGATAGAAACCCACCTTCTGCATTTACAACAATAGTTCCAATAACTCCTTTATGGCTTTGAATCCTCTTTAAAGTTTCCTCTACCTCTGCCTGTAAAAGAAACACATTCACTAAAGTACAAAACATGAATACAAATTGTGCAACAGCAGCTCATGCATTTCTCTCCATTCTCTCTCCTGGCTTTGGTCTCTAGCTGCATAATACAGAGTTCACCACTGAACAGCAGCAAAGAAGCACTTGGTAAAACAGATGAGCAGTTCCAAGGATTATGTAATGGTTTGACTCTTGCTGCAGAAAAACATTTGGAACTATGGAACCACACTGAAGACATTGTGATGTGGAGTATAATGTGTGTCTTAAATGAATGGGGACACTCAGGCAGAGCATGCTTTTAATGTCAACTTAGAATGGCATTTCTACTTCCCTTAAATAGGAAAAGGGCTGGGACAACTGCATGCTGCATTCTCCCAACTCCCTTCCACATACATAGTGGAGGTTCCTGCTGCCCATTAAAAGGGAACTTTTTCTCACAGGAAGTAATGTATCCCACCTAACTTCATGCTGTTGTTTCACCTAAGCAAGAAAAGAACTTCTGCTTGCTTCTCCTGTCTGAAAAAATTATAGTGCTCATAGTTAGTTCATGAAAAATTCTCCATAATGCAATTTATGGGAGACAGCAGACCTTTCAAAAGTAACCTTTCAGGTTGTAAGAACACACACATTGAGATAGGTTTCCCTATGGCATTCTTTCCATTCATAATGTTTTACAAGGCCAAATATCAATGAGCAAAGGAACCACTACATTATATAGTAACTGCTAGGAGTTTTCAGTAACTAATGTTAAAAATAAAACAAGGCTAAATGGTGTCCTTTTATATAGCTATTACATTCTCAACAGTTAATGCTGCAATCCCATGCACAGTTCCCTGGAGGTAAGTCCCACAAAGCAAAATAGGACTTAGCTCCAAGTAAAGATGCACAGGATTTGGCTGTAGTGTTGTATTATTACTCATGCAGGTACTCCAAGAAGGCTAGAAATTAATAAAGCAGAGAGATCATGTTAGTGGAGAAAATGCAGCAAAGGTAGTCTTTGTCAAAGCTCATCAACCGAGGCGATAATCTTTATTCCTGCTTACTATGGCAACATGCTGCCTTCAGAATCAAAGGCAGTGTGGCCCGATACACCAGTTGCTGTGGAATACAAAAGGGAGGGTGCCATTCCACTCACACCTTGCCTAAGGGTAACCCACACGCAGCTGACCGGCCACTGTCAAATACCATGGTAGACTCTTGGTCTGATTCAGTGTGGCTCTTTTTATGTTTTGGCAGTAAGCCCAAGCGAAATTACTTCTGAGCAGACACCCATACCTTTACAGTGAAGGATGCCCTCCTATTAATCCCTATTGAGCAAGCTTCTGAGAAAACCTACCAGGGATCAGGCTGCAGCACACAGTTAAGATTTAGGGTGCAAGTTTTAACAGAAAGGAGGGCTACAAGTGCCAGCATCCTCCAGCCATAGGATGGCACGGCTGCTAACTCAGCAGGGGGAGGTCATGGTCGAGGTGAGATCCGAACCGGACAGTTCCTGACAGAGAGCGAAACCATGAGGCTGCCGCCTCTGCACATTTGCTTGAAAGTCCCGAAGTGGGGAGGGGGAGGATTATTTCAGAGCAGCCTGGCCAGAGGATTGCATTGTCATCCACTCCGCTGCAAGCGCGTCCATGTTCAGTAGGGATTCCTCCCCCACCGGCAGCCCAAGGGCTTCCCTCCCAACAGGGACCCTCGTTCTGCGGTTCAGGGGCTTGGGCCGCCAGCGGCCCCGCACCCGTTCAGCGAGGCTCCTCGTCCTTTGCAGCTGCGCCCGGGAAGCCCAGGAGCCGCCCGTGAGGCGGCACGGCGCGAACCCCTTGCGGGGATCGAGTTCAGCACCACGGACCACCAGCCGGCCTCGGCGCGCCTCCTCCCCTCTCCCTGGGCCCTGCCTCGCAATGCGGCCACCCGCGGCATCTCCCCGAGTTCCCCGCGCCAAGGCCCCGCGGCGGTGGGGCACCTCCTCGTCCTCGTCTCTGTCACCCCCCCGCCACCCCGAGCCCCGTCTGTCCTCTCTGCCGCGACCCCCGATTACCATGACTCCGCCACCGACGCGCTGGCGTAGGCCGCCGTTGCTAAGGAACGCGTGCCGGAAGCGCCGGGAGAAAGAGGCGGGCCCAGGAAGTGAGGACAGAGGGGCGGGGTGTGTTCGGGCCGTGTTTCGCCTCGCGCTGTCACTCACTCATGCACGCATCCTGTGCGGGCGGCCAGCGCGCACTGGCGTCTCGTGGCCCTGCGTTACGTGTGTCATGGATTGCACACATGCAGGTTGCAGCCCTGTGCCTGTGTGCACCGCCCTGCAATTCCCACAATTGATGCCGGGAGCTGCACGCCTTTTTTCCCTGGCTAATTCTGCCCTAAAAGCCTTAAAAGCTGAGCACTGTGGATTCTAGTGTGGTTGGAGAGGGATCAGCGGAGCCTTTGCACGGGGCAAGCGCGTGTCCAAATACCGTCCCATGACCTGGTTAAAAATAAGCCCTTGTTATTTAAGTCCGCTGTATAACTGTGCAAGCATTTACACAACAGATTCAAGTGGGTGTACGGAGGCTTCCAGAATCTATTTAAATATTTTTTATAGAGGGTGCGTGACAAGAACTTGAGGCTTCGAGGTTATACCTGGAAGATGTTTGTTTATAGCAGATGTGCACAATATACTTAAGCAGGGGCAGGTGGACTTCAGTTTTCTAGTATTACATTTTTATTTCCATTTTAACTAAATCAAGGGCAAAGTAGTGAGTGGCACAGGGAAGACATACCATAGGCCATGTGCCATTCCCTGCCCCAGGAATTTTGGTTTTATTTATTTATGATTTCAAACATTTGAATGATGCCTGGAGCACCACAGCATCTCTAGGTGCATCAGAACTGAACTTGCTTGCACACACACACACACGCACTTAGAAGTTAACCCTGGTTCTTTTTTTAAAAAAGATGGTATTTTTACTGATTATTTTTTAAATTCTATTTATTGTATTGCTTTATTGATTTTTTTATTGCTTGTTGGATTTAATGTTGTAAACCGTCCTGAGGCATTGTAAAGGACGGCATATAAATGTTTTAAATAAATAATTCATTTTAGATGTTAAATATGTTCATTGATCTTCAAACTAAATTGTGGTTTGGTGTAAATTCATTTGACAGGATATTCCATGAATAATGCCCAGTTATATGTAAAATTGCTTCAGTTTTGATGATCTTCATTTTCTTTAGACAATTTTCCATTTTGGAAATTTCATAGCAGCCTATAGTTTTGTTTTTCCATTTGCTTCCAAATCATTAGCCTTAGTCAGAAATTATTGTGCACGTGTGTGTGTATTAGCAATTAATGAACTAGTAATAGTAGCACAATAGTTTCCCCTTTATTATATTTTAAAAGAGACATTTCTTCCATTGATTTTATACATGTCTACTCAAATAATCAATGGGATTATTATATATTTATTACATTTACATGCTAACCCAATACCTCAAGCTCTGAGCAGTGCATAAAGTGAAACTTAAAACAACAAAGTACAGTTACAAAATAAAACAATATACATACCATAAATTTAAACTAGAAGAAAAATGAAGTAAAATTAATATAGTGGATATTATTTGTTTTGGATCTTGCTGTTGTTGTTGCTAGTCGCGAAGTCGGGTCCGACTCATCGCAACCCCATGGACAGCATTCCTCCAGGCCTTCCTGTCCCCCACCATCCCCTGGAGTCCAGTCAAACTCACACCGACTGCTTCAGTGACTCCATCCAGCCACCTCATCCTCTGCCGTCCCCTTCTTCTTTTGCCGTCAATTGTTCCCAGCATTAGGATCTTCTCCAGTGAGTCCTTCCTCCTCATTTGGTGGCCAAAGTATTTGAGTTTCATCTTCAGTATCTGGCCTTCTAAAGAGCAGTCAGGATTGATCTCCTCTAGGACTGACCGGTTAGATCGCCTTGCGGTCCAAGGGACTCGCAGGAGTCTCCTCCAGCACCACAATTCAAAGCCCTCAGTTCTTCAGCACTCAGCCTTTCTTATGATCCAGCTTTCAACTGTGAAAGTTGGATCTTGCTATAACTGGATGCAATTTATGAGCGTTGCATGTGGTTCTCCATTGTAACAACTGAGCTTATTAGGGTGCAGCACTAGGGACTGAGTCTTCGATAAACAGAAGCTCTGAACTCAGGGCAGGGCAGAGGGAGCGAGTGGAGGTGCTCTTTGCCTCCTTGTCCTCCTGCTCAGCATCTTTTAATAGAAGGGCTTAATTACCTGTTCAATGACAGCACTTTGCAGGGGGAGGTTGGGGAGGCTTCAGGATTGCACTGTGGGTGGTACAGCAGTGATGGTTGACAAGCAGAAAGGGCACCATGCTTGAGAGCTTGTGTGAAGTAGCCCCAGGAGCTGGCACTAGAATTCAGAGTTGGACGAGGTATTATTTATTTATTTATTTAAAACTTTTGTAGCCCATCTAATCAGTGTCGTCTCGGGATGGCTTACAATAAGGAACAAATAAAATAACAAAACAAGACAGTTCAGACCCTCATAAGCATTTGCCCATGAATGGAAAGTGATGGGGCAGACATAGGTTAGGCTGCTGAGCCTTTCAACCCACCCTATTAAGCAGTCACAAGCGGCCCCAAGTCTGAGTTGGCCCACCTGCATTTGGTGAAAAGGGGAAGTGCACTGGGGACGTGAGGAGGACTGGAGGCCTCCAGGGGTGTGGGAGGCAGATGAGCCACAATGCTGAAACCTTGCCCTCTGCTAGAAAAGCTATGGGGACTCGAGGAGTCCTAGCAATCTGGCCCTCCCTGTTTCTGTCAAACATGGAATGGCGAAGGACAGGATGCACACGCTTCAGAAAGCCTTTCCTTGCTCTCAGCTTCAGTTGCTTGGCTGGAGTCACGGGACCAGAGATGATATTCGGTAGGCTGGCTTGGTGCGTTGCGGTGATACTGCGGTGATCTCACCCATCCCCGCCACCATGCCCATGACCCACAGCCCTGGTGCCTGGCAAAGCTTGCATGGGAGAACTGGGCTTCCTTTAAAATAAAACAAAACACAAAGCTGTGTAGCACAAACCTGTTTTTTGTGGATTTGGTGGATTTCAGCCAGTTCTGACAACAACGAAAAAATGGCATAGCCTTGCTTTTGTTTCCCTTGAATGTCAAGAGGAGGCACAAAGCCACAGATTCCTGAATCCCAGTTTGGGTTTGGTCGGCTTCCAGATAGGTCTGAGTTGAACTGGGCTATTTTCTAAAGTGATACTTCCCTTTAATGTACAGGCAATCCCTGGGTTATAAACAAATTCCATTCCTGGAAAAATGGATATTCATCTTTAAGTCGAATATGAATGTAAGTCGGATCTAGTCTAGTCAGCCCTCCATATTCTCAGGGTTTAGGGACTCAGGACCTTCATGAAAGTGGAAACATATCTCTAGCCTATCCCTGAACTCTCTAGTGCCTCCCTCTTTGCATCAAGGAAAAGCAGAGAGATTTCCTTCTCCAGGTGGGTGGGACAGGCAGGCATGCTTTGGAGGCCTCCCTCTCCCCTCTTGCTTCCTCTCTCTCTATGGTGATGCTGTGGAGGCCCTCCCTCTCTACCCTTTCACTTCCTCTCTATGGTGATGACAATTTTTCTCAGTAACTTTGTAAATTAACAGGCTTTATGGCAGTTCATTCATAAGTATGGTTGTTTGTAACTCAGACATATGTAATCTGGTGGCTAGTAGTTATAATGGGTATATATTACTTCTAGCACTGGAGGCAGTTTGTTTCTGAATACCCACCAATGGGGACTACGAGTTGGAGGGTACTACTGCTTCCATCTGCTGCTTGCCAACCCTCTGGTTGGCTGTTGTGGAAACAGAATACTGGGCTCACCAGCTAGGCTTCTAGTCTGAGCCAGCAACGTTCTTAGTTATTCATTTCATCTCTAATCCACTGAATAACAAATGCTGCCTGGATGGATTACAAAATTCTGTATCCTTGTGCTGCTTCCATGCAACAAGAGTGTGGTGCCCACAGCGTACGAGAGAACACAAAATCCCTCCTATCTTTGAACCTGACAGAATTAGAAAGTGAGATTCCACAGTATTTTCTGCACTGGCAAGAATCTTTTATGTCTCCGAGCAATTGCCAAGTAGCTCCCTGGGACTTGTTTGTCTCACACTCAGGTTTTGGGGAAGAAACAGATCTGAACTGCTTTCACTAGAATTGCCTCTAGATGGTGCTACTGTTATGTTACAAGGAAGCAAACACATATTCTCTGAAGGTGCAACTCATACCTTTGCTCCTGTGTTGATGAACTCAGCTTGCTTTCACTTTTCCCTGCAATGCAAAAAAGATCTGTGTGAATAATACTCCTAGAATTATTTAGTGGAACTCTTTTTAATAGCACAAGGATTAATTTCCTCTTAAGAAGTGCTTCTTCCATGACCCCCCCCCCCCCCCGCCCCAGTCTGGCCATCTTCCCCATAGGTTGCTCTGCAGACCATCCAGTCTTGCATTGCAGATGAGGTCAGAGGTTATGCATGTAATGACTGGTGCTTTTAAGTAAAACACAGGCAATAAGCACCTCAGGACTCCCAGCAGATGCTTCTGCTTTTGTATGCTAATACAACTTTCTGGACCATTTTCTTTTCCTTCCAAGAGCAGATGTAAGTCTACAGAAATCACTTTTTAACATCAAGAACAAATTAATAATAACCTCAAGCCTCTTGGAAAGCAGAGACAGCATACTCTGCTTTATTATATGATCAGGACAGTACGTTTACAGAGTGGTTCATGGAAATGAATATTTCATATTCTGTGAATTTTTCTCCCAGTTAAGCAAACTCTGAAGAAAGTAGTCTTAGCTCTTTCATAAAAAGAGAAAAGAATAAGTAAGGAAGCCTTCCCCATCCATAAACTCTCCTGGTGTACTAGGTTCTGAAGGAACAGTTCTTAAAGGAACTTTAAGGAACAGTTCAGAAATTTTGGCTGGCCTAGAATGCTGCAGCCACGCTTGGCTGGGGCTGGTTACAGGGAGTAAATGCCCCACGTAGCTCCCTTTCTCGTGCCTTTCTCCAGAGATATTCCCTTTCAAGCAGTCCTTTGGCATGTAAACTCATCTGCTGGCGAGTATTGTTTTTATTTTGCAGTGTGTGTCCTTTATCCTCA